GCCGGAGGACTTTTCCATCTCGTTTGGAGAACCGCAGGCACTGGAGATGCCTGCCGCGGCGCTGCCGGAGAAGCGCGCCGCCGTGGGCGTGCAGGAAGGTCTTGTCATCTACGATCCGCAGGCACTGGAAATGCCTGCCGCGGCGCTGCCGGAGGAGCGCGCTGCTGCTGAGGAGGAGGTGCCGGAGGCGCCTGTTGCGGCGCTGCCAGAGGAGTGCGCTGCTGATGATGCGCAGGTGCTGGATGCGCCTGCTGTGGCGCTGCCCGATGAGCGCGCTGCTGCTGAGAAGCAGGTGGCGGAGGCGCCTGCCGCGGCGCTGCCAGAGGAGCGCGCTGCCGACGATGAGCAAGTGCTGGATACCCCTGCTGTGCCGCTGCCCGAGGAGCGTGCTGCTGATGCTGCTAGTGACGTTCAGGTGCAGAACCCGCTTGCTGATGCAACAGATATAGTTGCCTACACCAGTGTGTACCAGGTTAAGGACGAGTCCGCCAGGAGCACCATTATGTTCGTAGACACAGCAGCGTCTAGCCACATGGTTAGCGCGGATTCCTACGCATCTCGCCACGTGACCGAGAAGTCGGACTGCAACGTGAGGATCAAAGGTTCGTGTGGAACGTCGAGCGCGGCTCAGAAAGGTATCCTGCGTTTCGGCATCTCAAACGACCGGAACCAACTCGTCCCGGTGGAGCTACAAGTACTACTGGTTGACAACCTAGGAGCGAACATCCTCTCGGTCGGAGCCCTGAAGGAAAGGGGGGTGATGTGCGATCTTCTGTCTACTCCTCCAGCACTCCGTAGCAGCGATCAGGCCTTCCCCATCTCCACGGAGATTTCGCGGATGTACAGCGTGAACATTGTCCTCGACGACATGAGGATGGACGGGACCGCGATGCTGCTCAAGACGAAGGTGAATGCACACATGTGGCACCGGAGGATGGGCCACTGTAATCCGCGCGCCCTCCAGCAGCTGGCGAGGAAGGAGCATTCTGGGGTTAAATTTGACCAAAACATCGAGTCTGGCGACTGCGAGGTATGTGCTGTCGGCAACAGCAAGAAGTCTAGTCACCCACCGGCTAACCGACCTCGCGCCGGCACTCGTCTTGCGCTCTTGCACGTAGACACCTGGTCGCACTCCGTAAAATCTCTCGGTGGACACAAGGGTGCGGTGATGTTCACGTGTGACAATACCCGCATGAGGTTTGGTTTTCCCATCAAGAGCAAAGATGCAGCTGCTGAGGCGCTGGAAACTGTTGTCAAGGAGGAAGCCGACCCGGAAGGACTGTGTATCACCACGCTACACTGCGACGGAGGGGGCGAGTTCAAGGGAAGGTTCGCGGCGCTGGCAGCATCACTTGGAATCAAAATCGAGACCAACGCCCCGTACATGCCTCAAGGCAACGCCGTCGCCGAGCGTGGCTTTGGCACGGTCGCAGCCATAACGCGGCGCCTTCTTCTTGGGGCACCTCATCTACCGGAGAGTCTGTGGGCCGAAGCGTTCCAATACGCGATCTATATACTGAATCGCACGCCTACGGACGTCTTGGGCGGCAAGGCACCACTTGAGGTATGGGAGAACAAACCGCTTGGCAGCTTGCACCACATCCGCGAATTCGGTTCGGTATGCTTTAAGCACGTGGAAGCGGGGGACAGGCCCAACAAACTGGCTGCCAGGGCTGAGAAGATGTTTCTGGTCGGTGTCAACCCTAAAAGCCGGTCGTGGAGGCTATGGTCCCCTCGTGACAAGTTTAAGATCACCAACTCCGCCGAAGTTTCTATTCGCGAGAAAGCCCCGCGCGACGTGGTTCCCCCCAAGGCAGGGCATGATCCGCTGCCAGAGACTCCAATGATTTACCATCCCGGTCCGGAAGAGTCTGATGACGACGTCGACAGTGTGGTGGAGCCACAAGACGAGCAGAAGGATAACGAGCCGGAGCCCACGCCTCAGGCGCAAGAGCCGGGCCCCCGTCGCAGCACCAGGAACCCCAAGCCGACTGAACGTCTGAACCTGTTTACCTTTGCCACGGAGGAGGAGGCCTTCGAGCAAGTGGAACGCTCCCTGCTCACCGGAAGCTCGCTTGGCAACAACGGGACTGGCAACCCTGGCGAAGTGGGCTACAGGGCTCCCGACCCTTCGAGCTACGACGAAGCGATCCGTGGGCAGGATGCTCTAGACTGGCAAGAGTCCATGCGGAACGAAAACCAGTCGCTTGTCGACCTTGATGTGTACGACTGGGTCGAGCCGCCGACGAGTGCCCAGGACCAGCCGATCCCGTCAAGGTACCTTTATAAGCGGAAGTACAAGAATGGCGAGCTTGCTCGACTGAAGAGCCGCGTTGTGGTCCAAGGCTTTCACCAAGCAGACACGGGCGAGGATAAAGCGGCGCCTGTGGCGTCCATGGAATCCGTCCACCTGCTGATTGCTATCGCAGCCAAGAATGGTTTTGGCCTGAAGCAAGCCGATATCAAGACGGCATTCCTCCACGCGCGGGTTCCTGCAAATGCGAAACCGATCTACGTCATCCCTCCGAAAGGGTTCGAGTGCTCTCCGGAACAACAGGGAAAAGTGTGGCGACTCAAGGCGTGGCTCTACGGGCTGCGCCTCTCTCCGAAGGGCTGGAACGGCACCTTCCACGACTTCCTGCTGGAGATCGGGTTCGTTCAGAGTACGGCGGACCCCTGTCTCTACATCCTTAACGCGGGAGGGGTCCTCCTTCTCGTGTACGTCGACGACATTCTTTTGTCGGGAAGCGACGAAGCGCAGGTGATGCGGGTCGTCGAGCAGCTGAAGGAGCGGTTCGACACAGTGTTCCTGGGAGATGCACAGTTCCTGCTCGGTATGGCACTTGAGAGGAACGTCGACGCCGGAACGATCTTCCTGTCGCAGGAGATGTACGCGAAGGCCGTACTTGACAAGTTCGGAATGGCCGACGCGCACTCTACGAAGACGCCTGCGGAGGCTGGGCCTATCAGCACCGTGGAGGAGAAGGTTTTGTCTCCAGAGGACACGGTGTACTTCCGGTCCGCCACGGGCAGTCTCCTGTATCTCAGCAGGGGTTCGAGGCCGGATATTACCCACTCGGTGATGGTGCTTACGAAGAGCATGGCGAAACCGGGTCCCAAGGCGATGGCAAAGCTGAAGCGGGTTCTCAGGTATCTAAAAGGGACAACCACTATCGGGATCACATACACCGAAGACGCCGACGGCGGAGACAAGCTAACGGCGTACGCGGATTCTGACTTTGCCGGTGACCAAGACAAGGGCTACTCCACAACCGGTGTCGTTCTCTATCTCGCAGGTGGCCCAGTGATCTGGATAGCCAAGAATCAAACGGTGCTGGCCATCTCCACGTTCGAGGCAGAAGTCGTCGCGCTGTCCAAGGCGTGCCTCATGGTTATACATTTTCGAAATTTGCTAGAGTCGTTGAAGATGAAGCAGAAGCAAGCAACAGTATTGTACGAGGACAACGCGGGTGCCGTAGCGTTCGCAAAGGGTAGCAAAATCACGCCCCGCACGAAGCACATCGACGTGAAGTTCCACCACGTCCGGCACCTAGAGGACCAAAACGTGGTAGATGTAACTTACATCGACACCAACAGGCAGAGGGCAGACATATTGACCAAAAGTTCGGGAGCTGTGAAGTTCCTGCAGAACCGCCTTATTTTGCTTGGAGTGTGAGTACCTCCCCTTACCGAAATCAGACCATATGTCTTAAAAGGGTTGGACGGTACATGGAATTCGCTGCCCAGAAAACTCTGGCAGTTAGTGATGAGTATTCAATTTGAATTGTTCGAGAGCATGCATTCATGTTGATAGCATTTGTCGAGAGGACACTGGTATTTGTTTCGAGAGGACACTGAGAGAAAGAATTTTGTGTCTTATGTATCAGAGCTAGTCATGACGTAGTTCTTGAGAGGACATGTTGGGATTTGTATGCAAGAACTGACTCTATTCTACTGCATGGGTTTTGTGCAGTATTGTGAAGGCGTGTCTCCAAGTCTGTAACCGTCAGGTGAAGACAGCTTGGGCGCCTGTGTTTTGGATCTAATGATCACTCTGTGTTGTATCTACCCAAACTGCGCCACCACTGCCAACTACACAACAAACAGCAACTACAATTCTGTTGTCAGGGACGACAGCAATGCTTACATCCTCCGAATGCGAGCCTTTTCCGGAACTGTTGTCGCGGATTTCTGAGCCAAGGGATGATTCGTGCCGCCAGCACTCGTCCCTGGGGAACCCCGCTCATCATCAGCTTCGCAATTCACCACCAATCAAAAAGAACACGATTCGTCGCGTTTATGTACCGAAATGCTCAAGGTTGAACATAACAACATATTCGCACGATTGAGAGCGAAGTATCTGATTGAGAGCGAGATCGTGCGATACGATGTAGCTTGTCTACTGCTGAGAGGTAGAGCTTGCTGTGCGGCTTGAATTGAAGGGCTTGCCCATAGCTACAAGCCGATACCCGGGTCATCCTGCGGGTGTCTCGCGTTGTGGAGCTACACCGCGGAGCAGAAGCTACGGGAGGGCCTACCGCGCCAGGTGACGGCGCCCTGAAACAGTTTCGGGCAGGAATAGCCAATCTGGGGAAATCTAGCAACGTGCGTAGCTCCTCGCTGCTGCAGCCGATCTCAGTGACACGCATATGCACGCGAAGCTGCTGAAGAGAGCTTCAATTTGCGCCGCTTTTTGGAAGAGCCCGTCCCCTGCTTCCCGAGAAATGACGGGAGGCGTCTGGACCCGAATTTCGATTTTTTTTGGTTCTCGCTCTCAATCGGTCAATCGGAAACTTCGCTCTCAATCGTGCGAAAACCCTGTTACATGCAATAGTGCAGTAAGCTACATACCCCAGGCAAAGAATCTCGTCTTCCGAGAAGAAGGCGCCATGTAAGACGACATTGTCGGCCGCCATGTCTAAGCATGGCTCTACAAGGCAGCGACAGTTCGCCATGGACGGCCTGACGAAGATAACAGAACGCAACCCGAAAACAATGCCCTACCAGGAGGAGGGCGGGAACCCGCCTGTCGTGTGCTTCAGGACGATGTTTGACATCGGGGAAAAGGACGAGGATTCCAACCCCCAGTCGAAGGGCGACGGAGAAGGAGAAGGTATGATCGCGGCGACGGAGCGAACCACCTCGTTCTTTTTATGTATTGTTGGTTTGGAGGGCGCCGTTTGTGGAAAGCCAATCAGATGGGAGGTCTGAGAGGTGGCTGAGGACGAATTGATTTTCGCAAGAATGTGCAGGCACCCAAAGAGTAGCACAGTCAAGGCCTACAGACAGTTCGATCGATGGTCGGGTCTGCGAACATTTTCCTCAAGAAGACGCAAGAAAACAGGACTGTTGATACAAATACTGTATTGTTGCCATTCGAAAGTCCTTTGGTCTATCGATTTACACCGCTGCACGGTTAATTCACGAACCCTGGACGTTCATGTCTAACAACTGTGCACGGGCTGAGGTTTATCCTACATTTATGTGAAAAAGGGATGCACGCTGGACACAACCATCCGCACCTTTGGAGACGCTGCGGTGGGAGGAGCAGGCTGCCACCCATCTTTCGGGAACGACACGACGCGCGATTCGCGAAGGATGTCTGTCAGGCGCGCAGTAGATATTCTCTTGCTGTCCATGTCCGGCGAAGCCGTAATGTTGGTGGAGCTGATGATACGAAGCACATTAACAAGAGAAATACGGCGGAGTACGGGGGATCGGCCACCACGACAGCAAGGAAATCGCCGGCAGTGCACTTGTCCCGAAAAACGACATCATCGAGAACAGGGCCTGTTCCTTGTTCATTGAGGTCAGCGACAACAAGCCTCACTATGGATGCCTTCCGGAGAAAGCTGTGCTTCAAAGTGAATCTTACAATGGACAATGTCGCGATGCTCCTTGGTTGACCTATCCTTACGCTGCACAACGCACTCCCGCATAACCACTGAAGGGTTCATGTGCATCGACCTACATGTTGGTGCGGTATGAACGATCGAGGCGAGAAGAGTCTCCCGAACGACCTCCCAGCTGCTAAGCCGGCTTCAACGACCTAGGTTCCTCAATGCCCACCGCAGTCTGCACAAACAAAAGAGCCTCCGACGGCAGCATCCTCGTCGAAACGTCAAGACCTCGAGCACCATCACTGCCTGGATCACGGTCGGAGGTAGAAGAGACTCGACGTAAATCCGACATTATCCCATCAAGAGCGTCATCGATGTGATGTTGATCGCTCGGCGCCCCGGAAGGCCCAGGCGTTTGGCGTCCGGCAATTGATGGGTGAGCAGTCGAAGAAGCCGGCTTTCCAAGCAGGGAGTTTTCGTAAGCGAAAGGGTTCCAGCAGTAGGATGTAGGCAATAAAGCGGGTGTGCCTTGGTCCGACGGTGAGGATGCCAAGGAGGGGGGATGGTGCCGAGGGAAAGGCCTATCGAATGGATGGATCGAGGACGGGCGGGGCGCGACAGCGGGTGAGAGGTTGGACACGGGGGAGAGGGGGCAGGAATGACGTATGATTTTGGTCCTTCTAGTTTGACATTTGAAGAGGAAGCTATGTGGACGGGCTTGGTTCCAAATCTATTGCGAAATGGGTGGATTCCTGGTTGGCTCCCATGCCGATCGAATTTGCATCCACGCTTGTCGTTTCAAAGCCTTCAGCAAAGTCCTGTCAAACAGGATCAGTGATCGAATTGGTCAATTTACGCCAACCATGCATGCAACAGCCAACAACATCCACGAACAATGCTCCTCAGAACTGAACGTTTTTCATACTCCTAATGCCTACCGGCTTCGAGATAAAAGTGCCCCGGCCTCTCACCAGCCGTTGTAGCCATTGGTCCGAGGTCGGTGGCAGTCACCGCGCTACCATCAGAAGACGAGTAGTAGCAGCGGCACCGCTGCTTGGAAGAGCACGCGGAAACCGCGGCATCCGTCTCGGCCTCGAACATCACACCCAGGCAGTGTTTGGTGCGCTCCGCCTCGGACGGATTCGAAATCAAGCTGGAGGTTTGGGTGGAGACACCATCGGTTCCCCCGCCCGCACGGCGAGATTTCGTTCGGGCAATCTTGGCCCATGTCTCGTCTTCGCGGAGCGTACCCCGAAAGCCGTGTTCTGCGATACTGGGGGAAACGATGGTCTTCTCCTTGATGTTGCTGCGGCTGAGGTGGGCCGCGTTGGGGCCGGTCCAAACGATGGTAGCGTTCGGGCCCTGCAGGATGGCGTTAGGAGACTCCCAGAGGGAGAAGGTGCCCCTGGGTACAGGATTCATGCTGTCGACACGACCGGACGACAGCAAGGCGGACAGAGCTCAGACGGGTGACCATGCATGAACAAAGAACGTTGGGCTCGAACAAGAAATATGGTTTGCTGGATTTTTGCCAAGCTTGTTCTTTACCCCTTCTTGCTGAGTACGTGTTGCGACTCGTCTGCCGTGCGCACTCGCTCGCTCGATACCCAATCAGCATTGAACTGAAACAGCGCAACAACCTGCAATGTTCCGCGTTAGGGTGCTGGAACGTCTCTGTTATACAGCAAAAAGCTTGTGAGTTATCGGCGTGTTGTGGGAAGCAAGGATAAATGCGAAAGTCGTGAACGGTCGTACCTGTCGCGAGCCCGAGGCTGGTTGTTAGTACCAATTTCTTGCAGCGGCTGGCGGCAGTTGTACCCCTGACGCGAAATAGATTGAGGTTACCAAGGCGTATCAAAAGCAGTGAGAGCGCGGTGTTGCAAGTCAGGGATAATCTGAGCCTCCTCTGGTTTGAGCTACATCCAAACGTTTTTTATACGTCGAGCTTCATAGTCGCGTGGGCATATATCTGCATGTCCGATGAATGTGGTGCTGGACTAACAATCTGCAAGTTTAAAAATGTTCGGAAGTGCAATGCTGTGAGAACAGACAATAGTGACACGTAGACGTTCTCGGAACTACAGTAGTCCATCGAGAGGTAGCCAAGACAATGGCGAAAGATTTTTCTTCATCCGGAACGACGCAAATTTCTCCCTTCGAGATTCGTACAACACCATCAAACCGTGTCGTCCAAGATGAATGCCTGTGACCCACGTTGAAGTTGTTGTTGGCGTCACGGCGGGCCGCGGAAGAGTCGTCCTTCGGCGTCCGGATCTCGCCCCCGGCGAACGATGCATGACAGTGAACAGTGCACCTGTGTCAAGTCGACGTCGTTGGAATCATTGGGAACCGGGGTAACGGAAAGGAAGTGAACTGCCGATTCTATTGTTGAGATCGTCTAGTGGAAATGTGCATTGGGGGAAGGACCTAGGTTAGAAATACGGCAGGGAAGGTGCGGTGTACTTCGGTTGTACGCGTGAACATTTGCCAACGGAGGATGATGTCGTCGGCCTGGGTTGGAAAGAGGATGGCATGTCGTGAACTCTGTAGACTAGCCGGTTTCTCCACATATCCTTGGGGTTTGCTCATGTGAAGAGAGGTTGGACATTTATGGTGCCCGTGGTATGCACTACGATTCAAGGTTTTATCTTGGGTCGCAGCAGGATGCAGTTGTTGTGTCATCAGTCGCCGAACCTCGGTGCTGCCTCCTCTTGTCCGTCTTGGGGGGGGCAGTGCTACGAACATCCCGCAGTTGGGAAGGTGGAGCCCGTAGCAATATCAACGAGGAGGTGAAAGGGCACGTGTTCACAAGCGTATCTCGTTCTCCGAACTACCGTACATAAGTTGAACATTAGAACGTCGCAACACATACTGGCCTGTGCTTAATTTCTTGATGGAATTCACACTTGGCCTTTACACACATGCTCAAAAATACTCACAATACTATTCCCGGGGTACTGGGCGGTATCGTCATCGAGACACGCCGCGCTTCCCCAAGCTTGGAATCAAGCACGCTCGCCAATTCTCACTACAAGTAAACACAAACCTATTTTCTCCGGATTCATTGGATAATGCCACTCATACAATAATCCTTCTGATGTTGCCTGTTGGAAAGGCTTACCCCATAAGACTACGAAGTCAGCGCTGACTAGTCTAATGGTGTAACTTTAGCAAACAAAAGATATACGCTCAGCTCATTAGCACCCGGATGGATCACTTGGGTCAATGGCTTTTTGAGAGCAGGGATCTCCGGGGACGGACCCCTCGCCAGACGCTGCCTGAAAAGAACTTGATGGTGCTTGGGAAAGTGACCAGTCGGGTTCTGGAGCTGTGCGTGAAGCCTTATCGCCACATGTTCAACCATTAGAAGAGTCAGCGCTGACTGAGTGGTCTAATGGGGTAAGCCTTTCTAGCAAAGGATACACGCACGGGTTCGAATCCCAGAAAACTTTGATTGTCTATGGGACTAAACTTACCGTTCGGCCGCAGGGTTCCGCAAATCCTTGGCACCATGGGCAAACGCTCACTTGGCTGATCGAGTGGCATCCCAATGTATGATGACACCATGGCACACACGGCACAAGCATATGTATCAATGCCCTTCCGCAGCTCAAGAGTGAAAACATGGAAGAGAAGAGTGAGAAAGTTGTGCGAAATAAGATGAAGACGCAACATACTGTGTAGTTGCAACCCGAAAGGCAAGCCTTCCTGTTCCCAGGCACGCACGTGTCACACCCTGCTGCTCACACAACTTTGCGACCCCAAACTTGCACCTCTGCAATCCTCGAGGGTCTCCCCGTCCAAAGCGTACAAAAGCCGTGATCCCAGATTACAGAAAACATGTCCGGTGTGGCATATACAACAGCACACACTCTACATCCAACGCACACAGCGTGAGACACGTGCTTGAATAAACACAACTTCAGTTTTCAAAGTCTCTATGACTCCTTAGTCATATAAATTACCTCGCGAGTTTGACAACCTCGAAAGGTGCAGTCCGTGCAACGACGACTTTGTCCAACGAACAGTGACCATTTTTGGGGTGCACTCACCACCGAAGGGGCATCGTCCCTGGAGCCAATGTTTGCAGATTTCGGTCTGTACGGAAGTGGGCGCAGCAGACGAGCACGGAAGATGAAGAGTACGATTATGAGAGGCATGTGCACTGCTTACCGGTGTGAGTCTACACGAGGAAAAGTCGTCTAGCGTTCTAGAGGCCTTCAGTGGTCTCAGATTCGGATATTTGTAATGACATGGGGAGTGCATGCGCCGACAGTCCTTCAGTTTCGATCACGCCGCACATGTGATCTGACAGTTTGTAACATAACGGCTGAAGTTTTTCAATTCAAATTTCCCCCTCCAAGAGGTCAGCAAAACACATTTTTCCCTTTCTTGCGACCTGCATAAAAAGAGAAAAATTTCACACCATCAGGGTACGTCTCAAGGAGAGAGTAGCCAAGACAAGCTGATGCTGGAAGATCTGAAGAGGTGAGGAGCCTACATCCGCATGTATCGTCATTCGAGGATGAAGACAGAGTGAGGTGTGCCGTAAGGGTTCATCCGAGCGCAAATCCGCCGCAAGAAAGGAGTGCGGCGGCACTACTGCTGGAAACCTTCATCATCTGGAATCTGACTCCCTCTCCGTCTCCCTCTCTGCGAAACTTTCCCTCCCTAGATTCACGTGCGACATGGGCCACCTTTCTGTTGGCTTCGATAATTCCCTGCCTTTCCATGCGACGAGGCTGCGGCCTCGACCCAGACGCCCTGCTGATGTGTCCGCCGCCGTGGGCCTGCTGTTTTCATACGTGGGACAGGGCGAGGAACGACGTGAACACGCGCTGCAGCAAATAGAACTGTGATATCATGTGACACGAACGAGGGCGGAAAGGTGCTCTGACCTCGGCGATCATATTGACGGCAGTGAACTATAGCAGAAGGAGTCAAGAAGTCGGGTCGGTCTACCGATGGCTGGAGAGAGAATTGTGTGTGAAAGCGAGGGGATTCGCGGAGCTATCCCGTCTTTCCTGGGCGAGACCGTACCTCGATCTCAACATACTCCGCCGTCCCCCCAAAAGTGCCCGGGATTCCGGTTTCAAAGGCATCCGCCAGGTCAAAGTCCTGCGAAGAGGTCGGCGTTGTACAGTCGCCGTTCTCGCATGGCACGCTATTGCCAGATGTTCTCTGCCGACATGCTAGGCAAGGGCGGCATGAAGATTCACTCAGCGAATGGGGTCATTCGTAAACTCCTTCGTTAGAGCTGTCTTGCTGCACGCATTTTATCGATGCGAGAGGAAGAGGTGGGGTGGGGAGAGATCTGACAGCAACTGAGCGCCTGTTGTATTACAAATGCTGTTCAGAGCTATTTTCTGTGTCAATTGGGGATGGGCTCCGATAGGGTTGTCGGCGTTGCGTCTGCATGAATCCTCTGAAGAACTTGAAGTTTGAACAGTAAGTATCATGTGTGCTGCGAAACATGCCATGAACCTGGTACGATACTATATTTCCCCACCGTATCGCCGCTCAAGTACTCTCCACCCAGCTCTCGCCCTCCGGCTTGACATGCTATAAAGGCACCCACACGCTCGCTCCACCCGGGCTCCACCGTGATTCCCCGATCGGGGGAGCTCATACATTTTCCTACAGTACTGCATCTATACGTACATCTCCATTGGGAAATACTTGTATCTCGAAAGGGCGGAAGTTCACTGTCTGTTTTCACCTCTGTATTCCGGGCGCCAGCCTGCACGTTTTGGGGAAGGTTGACATACCAGCCGGGGGGGGGGGGGGGGGG